GGACGAAATTAAATCAGAAATCAAAAGGAGAAAAACACATGATTGCTTTGCTATTTAAGGACACTCAAACCTCACGTTTGAGGTGTGCACATTTTGAAGGCTCTTTGTGTTAGGGTTTCTATTTTTAAGTCTTTATTTTGAGTTATTGTTGTGCACCACTCTAGCGCCTCCATTCATATCTTAAGGCATAAATGTTGATTTCCTTGTTGAGTTGTAAAACTTTGTTCAAAGATATTAATTCTATAAATTTAAGAACAAAGTGTTTTTGTTTCTTGTATTACACATTAATGTTATCATAAGGATTTTTGTTGGATCTATTTGTGTACACCAGTCCATGTTTCAGTAACTTGGCATTATTGTTGGTTTGTCTTAGTTGAGTTGTAAATTCAACAATCAATAGAGTTGTTATTGAAGTTGATCACTAAAGGTTAGTGATTGAGAGAAAATGAGAGGGGTTCTCGTATTTATGAGATGTTATAAATAGAAAGTCATAAGGATTAGGAAGAGGCATTAAACATCATGGGGTTGATGTTTCTATACGACTAATTGTAATAATTCGGAGTAGTGAATTTGCTTTCTTTAGTAGAGTGCTTCCCAGACGTATGTGTGATTTAACCAAACTAGATTACCAAACTCTTATCTTCTTTATTGCTTTTCTGCTTCATCATCTTGTATAAGCAAAATTGTTACCTATTGGTTTTTTAAACAGGTATCTATTCTGGTATACAATGTCACAAACATCGTGTTCGACTTTTGTCCCCATAATCAATTATCTGTCATAAATCAGTTGTTCACATTATCCAAGATATCTGGTCCAACATCTGTCTTTCTGAAAATAGAATTTCAAACCCAATTGAATTTTATCATGTATATGGTTTTTTTCCCACTAAATCCATCGCAATTAGCGAAATATTTGCTTCCCTCATAATTTTTCCTCTCAAGATTTCATTTTTTATAACGGCCATGCACTTACCATGGACGGCCTCGATACCCCCTCTTAGTGAGCTATTATCCCAAAAACTTCTCTATTCAAATGTCGAATATACACTTCTTCGACTTCAATTGCATGTCATGCTTCCAGACATCTTTAAACAGAACTTTCAGATAGGCAATATGGATTTCTTCCTTAGTAATTTTTACTATCATATTGTTCATGTACATTTCTAATGTATCTCTAATTTTTCTTTTAAAAACTCCCTTCATAATTTTTTATTATATTACTTCTGCAATCTTAAACCCGTAAGGCGTCATCTTGTAGCTAAAATTATCCTTGTAAGTCATAAATTAAGGTGTATTTGTGTAGTCTTTAGGATCCATCAATATATGATAATATCAAGAGTAGTCATTCATAATTGGGCAAGGGCTAAGTGTATTTAAGACATGCCATGTTGATGTTCTGCATGGAGAGAAATTCTCGGTTTATGTATGTTCAAAGTTTGCCATTATGTTGATAATAGAGTGACAACGTTAAAGGCATTCCCGCAAATGTGTCAAATGATCTAGTATGGCCTTTCTTTTCAAATGTTGTTGACGATGATAAAGTTGAGAACGAACTATAGTAAATTGGCTTTTGAGCTTTGTTTGACATTGGAGAATGTATTTGTAAACACTCTAATGATCAAATCAGTGATGATCATATGTAGGAAATTTAGTGTAATAGATATCTGAAACAAAATTGTTCTTTTGTCTGTTGTGAATCGGATGTCTTGAAACAAAATATAAACAGTTTCTTTATGATCAAGAAACACACAAGGGTTAGGGTTAATAAAGATAACAAGGTAAAACAATAAGGATTGGTTATAAACAACTATTTTTTCCTTACTCTTAGAACAAGATTACAAGTATATAAGAATAACAAAATAACCTCTCTCTCTTGAAATTAGAATTTTATCTTCCTATTTTTCCTCATGCAAATATTGAGAAACTAGCATCCTATTTATAATAAAAATAGTACACTAACCTAATGAGATTTTTAACAATAATCCATTACAAGCTAACTTAGAGTACAAGCTAACTTAAACAATTGGTATTACAAGCAAGACCCAATTTAACATGCTAACAACCCTAGCAATATTGACTAATGCATGTTAGAACAAACTTTGACTACAACATGCATTACTCCGACAACAGCATGCGAACATACTTCGATCTCATGCTTAATTCATGTCGAACCAGAAGCTACCATTCGACCATACTAGAGTTCGATCCAACATCTCACAAATCTCCACCTTGGATCTAACTCTATAGCATCAAGAAACTAGCTTTTTTCATGAAGCTTTATCAACTGCATACAGTGGAAAAATTTGCAACTGGGCAACGTATTGGTGATCATATCAGCAACATTATGATCTGTCAAAACCTTCCGTAGGTATGCCTCTTGAGATAAGCATAATTTCGACTGCTTTCTATCTCTTTAGATGTCAATCCCAAGAATCTTGGACGCAGCTCCCAGATCCTTCATGTCGAATTCCTTATTAAGTTTAACCTTCACCCTCATTACATCTTCGACATTGTTGCTTGCTATTAGAATATCATCCATATAGAGCAACAAAATAACAAATGAATTACCCGGTCGAAATCTGAAGTAAACACAGTGGTCGAACTGACTTCTGATGAAACTTATGCGTGCCATGAACTTGTTGAATCTCCAATTCCACTGTCGAGGAAATTGTTTCAGTCCATATAAGGATCAATTCAGCTTGCACACATAATCTTCCTTCCCTTTTCGACATACCCTTCAGGCTGTCTCATCAGGATTGTTTCATCTTAATCACCATACAAGAACGCATTCTTCACATCCATTTGTTCCAGTTCAAGGTTGAACCGTGCCACTGTGGCAAACAACATTCGAATGGATCTGCGCTTTAAAACAGGAGAGAACACATCATTGAAGTCGACACCTTGTTTCTGAGTGAACCCCCTAGCAACCAATCTTGCCTTGTATCTCTTCGACGCCACTCCTTCAATTCCTTCCTTAACTTTGAAAATTCATTTACAGCTGACTAACCTGGCTCCAGCAGGTTTCTTGATCAGTTCCCAGGTATTGTTATCATGAAGAGATTTCATCTCATCATCCATGGAGCACAGATCAACCATCTTGATCACATAGCTCCTCAAACAATTCTCTGTTTGGAGTCATGTGCCAAGTGCAACCTGAATCCATAATCCACTCTTTTCTTGAGTCGCCACTTGAGACCACAAGAATATCAGATGAGTCGAAGTCATCTTGAACAATGGTTTCGTTGCCATTGCCTCCATGATCTTTTAGGCATTCAGGGCACACCTTTCTTCTGTGACCTTCCTTCTTACAGTGATAACATTGAATACCAGATGTTTCGCCACTATAAGATTTCTGTTGATTTTTATCTTTCTTCTTGTCGAACTTACCATCCTTTCCCAAGAATTTTTCCTTAACGGCCAAACCTTCGTCCACCGTCGAAGGTTTATGCTCCTTTTGTTCGTTCAAGTCCTTAAAATACAAGGCTGATTGAACTTCTTCAAAGGTCAGGGACTCCCTTCCATACAAGAGAGTTTTTCTAAAGTGAGCATGTGTTCTGGGTAAAGTACACAACACCAACAATGCTTGATCTTCATCATCGATCTTCACATCAATATTTTCAAGATCAAGAATCAACTTGTTGAACATATCCAACTGCTCAGCCAACACTTTATCTTCACTCATCTTGAATGAATACAAAGCTTGCTTCAGGTAGATTCGATTCACCAGAGATTTGTTCATGTACAAACTTTCAAGTTTCACCCATAAACCTGATGTTGTAGTCTCCTTTGATACCTGTCGAAGAACCTTATCACCAAGGCCCAACAATATTGTGTTGTGGGCTTTCTCAATCATGCATGTCTTTTCTTTTGCCGTTAACGCGACGTTCATGGTTGCCGCTCCCTTCAACGCTTCCAAACAACCCTGTTGAACCAGTAGGGCTTTCATCTTCAAGCGCCACAGACCGAAGTCGTTCGCTCCGGTGAATTTTTCAATCTCATACTTTGTTAAATGCATCTTTTCCACACTCACCACACCAATTTGTTGTGAATCAGATGTCTTGAAATAAAATATAAACGATTTCTTTATGATCAAGAAACACGCAAGAGTTAGGATTAACAAAGATAACAAGGTAAAACAACAAGGAACAACAAGGATTGGTTATAAACAGCTATTCTTTCCATATACTCTTAGAACAAGATTACAAGTATTCAAGAATAACAAAATAACCTCTCTCTCTTGAAATTAAGATTTTATCTTCCTATTTTTCGTTATGCCAAGATTGAGAAACTATCATACTATTTATAAGAAAAATAGCACACTAGGCTAATGAGATTTTAAACAATTACCCATTACAAACTAACTTAGAGTACAATCTAACTTAAACAATTGAGCTTACAAGCAAGACCCTATTGAACATGCTAACAACTCTAGCAATATTGACTAATGTATGTTACAACAAACTTCGACTACAACACACATTACTCCGACAGCAGCATGAGAACATATTTCGACTTCATGCTTAATTCCTATCGAACCAGAAACTATCATTCGATTATACTAAAGTTTGATTCAACATCTCACATTGTCTTTATGTCCATTTGCATCTAACAATCCATAATGGATGAACGACTATAATTTATTGTAACTCTAGGACGAACGTATATTCCATAGTCCACTCTTTGTCACTTAGATTCGAGTAATTTGGTTTCATATACTATAAAAAATAAATAGGAACAAGTTTACATAAAAAACTAGCATTTTGAATTAGAGTCCAAAAAATTAAATAAAGCATTCTGTCAACGTGCTTTTAATTAAGCATCTATTAAATTAAATTAAGATAAATTTCATCTCAAATTTTATTACTTGCCGTCATAATCCAATTCAACAAACATAACAAGATATAACTAGCGACAGTTATTAAACTGCCACAACTAAATCAAATTATATTTAACCAAACAAGAACTCTTCTGAATCGGTCACTATTCTGTTCCTATCTTGATCACATAGAAGAATACCAACTATAAGAAGACGGCGACGACAAATTCAACTCCAACAAACCTTGTTGCTTTGTCTTATCACTACTCTCCTCATGAAACTGCACCCCTTTGTTCCAATCAGTTGAAACTATTGGAGTTATCGATGTATTATTAACAAATTGTTGATGATGATGACGACGAGGCTTGAATTCCGGTGCACCGGTTAGCTGTTGAACAAGCTTTCGGAAATTCATAACATCCACCTCATAAACCCTAATAGCTGTTGATGGTTGTGGAGCTATGACTGAAGTTTTCTTCCATGGTTTAGCTTGTGGTTTTCTCACGGAGTTGAGTAGTGAACTACTTTGAGACTTAGATGTATGATAAGAGGTGGTGGAATAAGCTTCCATAGTTGTAAAAGTAAGTATTAGAGTTGAAGAAAGAGAGAAGATCCAATTATTAGAAGATGAATTTATATTAGTGTTTTTGTATATTGAAGTATTTATAGATTGTTGTTATAGCAGCCTGAACAGCGAGGCACGTGTATTATGTTATGTTAAAAAAATGTGTTGAGTGTTGTGTTGCGTGCATGCGTTGATAGTCAAATAAAGGCAACGGTGGAGAAGAGGGGATGGGATTCTGACAGTATGTTTTGTCTTGACTGTCGGCTGCATGCTGAGTTAGCGATGACATAAGCAAGTTATATAGTATAACCAATTCAATTTGCAATGGTCAACCATTTTTATTTTTAAAAACTTCATGCTAATTATACTTGGACTTTCTTTGGATGGGAGAATTTTTAGTTAATTTTGCTTTTGTAAATTCTTTGGTATTTAAAATTTTTTTAATAAGCAACATTATATTCAACATATTTAAAACGATATATTAGGAGTACACCAATCTAATTATAATGATAAAATATTAAAACACCAACAAAAACTAAAACAATCAAAAACACTCTTATTACAAAAAAAAAAAAATCAATAGGAGAAGTATACTAAGTGTAATATCTTCTTTTCAATCAAATCATCAAATATCATCTGACTACGGGTCCACCAAATTGTCCAGCAAATCGTAATCCAAATAAAACATGTTGCTGCCTTAGAAGTTCTCCTTACCAATTTCATGAACCATTCTAACAAATGATCACAAACATTATCACTGTTGATCCATTATATCCCCACCGAGTCCGCAATCTTCCTCCACACAATACGTATGCAAAGACACAATCAGAAGATGTGATTATTATCCTCAATGGCGTTGAAGCAAAACACACAAATAATGTCATGTGGATTGGAGATTATTTCCCTGACCGCCATATTCGATCTTGTTGAAAGTCTATCCAACACTAATCTTCAATCAAAGGTTCTAACTTTAAGAGGAACCTTGGTATGCCATAGGACATCCAACACAGTCATAAGAATAATCTCAATAACATGCACGAATAATAAGACATGTGTATTATGTTATGTTAAAAAAATGTTTTGATAAAACGATGACATTTATGAAATTATTTTTTTCGAATTAAATTTAGTCAATTCAAATGAATGCTTAAAAGTTAAAACAATGAAGTTGAAATTTCTTTTTTTACTCTTATTTTGATTTAGAACTCGGTTTCACAACGGTTAACAGACTAACGTGGAAGATGGCTTTAAGGTGAATCTTAGTCAGAATCTCCATTTAATAAGGAGGAAGATGTATATCTAAAATCTCTGACACTTAAGCATTTAATTGACAGGGTCAAATGATGGTTTGTCTACCATGTTTCTTCGAGTCTGTAGATGATCGATTAGGAGTCCCATATTGTGACTATCATTTCTTGAATGTGTTGTGTTGTTCATTGGTCTAATGACAAAGTTGAATTGTGAACATAGTCATTTTGGCTTCAACGTGTTTTTACACTCGTGTGAGCATGTTGAAGGATACATGACTTTTTAAGACTGTGCTTTAATATTTGTTTTTCGTGCATGAGGTTTATTGACATCTTAACATCTTGAGAGCAAGTGATCAACAATAATGTAAAAAAAAAATTTGTCCTTCCCCCCAACGAGGAATCCTCAAATTGAGGTGGAGTCATTACTTTAACAACTCATTAGCTAGCTGGAAAACGATTGTACCCAAGAAATTGAGGAACAAAGTTCTCATTTAGCTAAATGTAAGAGTTTGGAAGTAAAATCTAATGGGATAAAACTGAAGTTTGATATTTTCACTCAACTAACCCTAGAAAATTTGAGGGGGAGTCATACATGTCGAAGCTGAATGTCGAAGTTTTCGTTGAACCATGTGTAGGAGTTTAGAGAGAGAGAGAGAGAGAGAGAGAGAGAGAGAGAGAGAGAGAGTTCAGCTTGATGAGGCCAAGGATCGATATTCTCACTCAATCGAGCATGGAATCTTAGAAAAGGAATTTCGTTAGGTTAAAGTCTAATATTTTTACTCAACCGAGCGTGGGAACTTGAATGAAACATTCAACTTACTAAGGCTAAGCGTAGAGATTCTCACTTAACCGAGTGTATGAGCTGATGGGGGGAATTTAACGTGTTTTCTTACATAACATAAACATGTACTCATTCCATATGAAAACATGTACTCATAACATAAACAAGTAAAAAGTAATTTTTTTAAACAAAATGCCCGCAGACAAAACTGACATGCCATTGACCCGTTTTAAAAGCGAGTTAGGTGGGGTGGACCAACTTAAGACACCGAGTCGAAAATCTCGTCCATCCTACCAAAAATAGTGGGTTAAACGGACGAGTTTGATCTGTTTTAGCATTGGTACTACAAATAATAAAATTGGGTATTACTAAATGATTTAAACTAAAAGATCATATATTACCATTTAAAAAATATATTAAAAGATATTTAATTAAAACTAAAATAGTAAAGGGAACTTACCAATGGTTTAACCGTGGGTAATTGTTTAGATACATCGATAAATACAATAAATTTATCTTTTTTTAAATTACACCTTTTTTTTATTTTTACCCGCAGTTAACCGACAATTAAGCCTTCGATAAAATAAATTTTCTTGAGAGCCAATAATCTTGGGTAAAATTCAGCGGGTAATTGTTGATTTTCTTGAAGGGCATCATGTAACACCCCCTTCTATACCCCAAATAAATACATATAAAACATTTAAGCATATACAAATTCATCAGAGTAAAAGTTTTAGAATAAGGTATAAAAGAAGAATGTCACAACTTCACCAATAAAACACGTTAACATTTTTCTCTATAAAATATGTAACATTTTCAAAAGTAAGCGGAAGATCAAATCATTTAAGCAGTTCCAAAATATTAATTCAAATGCACATAAGTCATCCAGATTAATACATCATATCAGTTAGATTACAAAACCACATCAGCTGATACATCGCAATGTATCACAAAAGAATGACTATACTAGTCTAACTACCCGGTGTTACATATCAGAGCAGCAGACTCAAAAGAATGAAGACTAATCTTCACAAAGGACTCCAGCATCCTAATCTGCAATGCCTCGTAGAGCATTATAAAACAGCAGAAGGGTGAGAAATATAACCATAATAATCAAAGCATGAGATTATATATATATAGGTAGTCATATAGCACATATTCACATTTCTCACCACACTTCATTCTCATAGTCATAAATCATACCATGTTCACATATATCAACATTATGAACATTCACAAGCACATCCCTTCATGCTTAATTTCACAATCATTCACAAGCACATTTGTACAACAACAATATTATGCAGTGTGACTCAACATATTCAATGCAACTCAATGCTATGCGGTACCGACATTAGTTATCTTTTTTTCGGTTTTCACTCTAAACCGGGTCCACCCTTCTAGACCGATAACTCATTATCATTTTTCAGTTTTTACTTTAAACCGGGTCCACCCTTCTAGACCGATAACAACCAAGCCCGTCCCCTAGGCTTCAAACCCACCCTTCTAGGTTTGGGACAAGCCACTAGTTTCCACGAAACTAACAGACATTGCCTCTTGACTGAATGATGCATGTACAATCAACCAATCACAATAAATGCACTTAAGACCGTTCCCGCGTCTTAATCCCATGCATTCGAATAATTCACCCCTTCGAGAATATCATCATGATTGCACATACAACATATATCAAACATTTATCAATGTATTCATTTCACACATCATCATCATATTCAACAACAATGCACACATATGACATATGTTCCCATGCATTCACACAATCAATCGCATATAAATATGCACTCACAATTCATTAGACGATACACATACATTCCTCATTGTACTCCCATGTATCTCTAATTATCACAACAATCAAGGTATTCACATCGCAATACCAATCATACAATTATAAGTTATACACACATATTCAAAATGTTCTCATGCATACTCATTACATAATTGTACACAACAATCAAACATTCACAACTCATCAATTAATACACACATAATCATCATTATGTTCTCATGTATTTCAACCGATTACAATTAATCATTCATATCACAACTCTAGGATTCACGCCCGAAGGCTACCCACAGCACATGTTATCATGATAGTTCACATACTCATTCATAACATAGAAGTATAAACATATGCGAATCAACCAAACAATCACCATTTGGATAACACAGCAAAGAAAATATACTGCCACATTCGCCTTCATTCGCCTGGCGAACCCTCGCAGCGAACCTTCGCCTGGCCTTCGCCTGGCGAACTCTCTCAGCGAACACTCGCTAGACTTCGCCTGGCGAGACTTCCCAGCGAGCCCAAGTCAGTAGCTACTGACTTCATTCGCCACCATTCGCCAGCACCTTCGCTGGGCGAACCTTCGCTATCCCACTTCGCTTGGCGAACCCACCAGCGAAGTATACTGGGACTTAAATATAATTATTCGCCAAAATTCGCTAGGCTTCGCCTGGCGAAGCTTCGCCTTTGCTCGCCTGGCGAGAGCCAGCGAACCTGCGCAGAACAGAACCCTATTCTGTTCCTCCTTCACCAATCCATCATCAACCCTCTCTTACACATCCAAATCAGTATAAACAACATCAATACATGTTACCCGACTATTCTACGGCATTATTGCTCAGTTTCAACCGATTAAATCCTCAATCTACCGATTATCCAACATTTTGCCCTAAATGGAAAGTGATGAAAAACATCCACAACCCAAACCCAACATACATAATAGCATACAATGATTAAATAGCAATGTTTCTCACCCTTACCTCGATTAATCGGAGCTTTGATGTTGGTTCTTGATGAATTCCACTTTTCCTCTTCTTCTCTTCTCTTTCTCTCCTTTCTTCTTCTTTCCTCTTTCTTTCCAAATATTTTTCTAACTTTCTTTTCTTTTCTTTCTCTCTTATATATTCCTTTATTTTCCTTCCTTCCAATTTCCTTCTCAATTCTCTATTAA